TTAGATAGGCATATGGATGATAGTGTAATGTAGGGCTGGAAGTTAGATAGACCTTAGGCTTAGGGTAAAAGTTCGGCACAACATCATGGGCCGAAGGGCCTGTACTGTGCTGTACAGTTCTATGTTCTGTGTTCTATATTAAATTAGTTAATGTTTTACCTGATGTGCATGGTTGAATACTTTACTTTCCCTTGTCCATCAGAAATGGTATAGTCCTAATTCAGTTGTATGTGCTTTTCTGGCTATCACAATTGCTGCCCCTGGTATCTGAGAAAGTTTGCGCTGCTGGCAGGAAGCCTTACCCCTTAGCCATGAAAACCAGGATACCTGACGCATACTATTTGCTAGTACAGTAATAGGGTGAATCTTCCTCCTAGTGGCACCAACTCAGAAAAGTGACCGAAACTCAATTTTGACTGGAAAGGAACATTATTTATTATTGAACACCAATATAGAGCCACTACTTGTGACATTCATAGGCTAGTTCCAGCCGGGACATGTGGTTCTGCACAACCATCCCTGGGCCTGCTTTTTTTTTTTTTTAAATCAACCTATTTAAAAATGGTATTCCACACTTCTGGAGCAAGTCACACCTGAACTCAGAACGCTTAGCTCAGAGGTAGTAACACTACACTGCACCAAGATAGCCCACCTGGTTTGGTTTTTTTTATATCAACCTGTTCAGACGTGTTATTCACCTACCTCTAGTGCAAGTGGGACTTGAACCCATGCCTTCTGGCCTAGAGACAGGGACACTATCAACATACCTTAAGAGCCCTGAGTGTCTCTTAATTTTTTTTTCTATTTCCAGGAGTGTTCAACACAACACCACCAAATCACTGTGACTTTCTTTGTTTTCAACTATTAACCACCACCAGTAATCACCTATGCAGCCAATTAGAAGTTTACATGCAAAACCTATTATTGGCAATGCAAACAATCAAAAGTTGGGTAGGGAGTTGTAGATAGAGCAGGAAGGGACTAAATGAAAATAGAGTTGGACAGGGAAATAAAGCCCTGTATCCCCTGCTTGGGTATGCTTTGTTAAAATAGATTTTCTAATTAACCAGTTCAAAGATGTTATTATGTACTCTGGAGTAGATGGGACTTGAACCCATGTCACCTGGCTCAGAGGTAAGGTCATTGCCAATGCACCATAAGGGCTCTTGAATCTTCTTTTGTTTCGTTTTTTAAAATGCACATGTGTTATCACACACAGCCAAATGACTTTCACACCACCAAATTACCATGACTGTTTTTTTGTTTTATCTATAAATCACCCATGCAACCCCGTATGGGCAAAATGAGCCATCGAACATGAGGATGTGTAGGAAGAGCAATAAGTGACTTAAGTCAACATGGAGTTGATGGGGGAAATAAAAAGCGCTGTATCCCTTCTGGGGTCTGCTGTATTTTTTGTTAAATCAGTCTGCTCAGAGATGTTATTATACACCGCTACAGCAGGTGGAACTTGAAATGAGGCCTCCACAGCCGAAGATAGGGACACTACCACCAGGCCACATGAGCCTTATGGAGTCCGCTTTATTTCATTTTCTATTCAACCTGTTCAGAGATGTTATGAGACACCTCTGGAATGTGATAAGACTGGAAATTGAGTCTCCTGGTCCAGAGGGAGGGATACTACCACTGTACCACAAAAGCCTTTGCCACAGGTCTGCTTTATTTATTTTTTTCTTTTTCCGTTTATCCAGAAGTGCTATCACACAACCAAAAGGCTTTTCCACCACCAAATCTCTTGTTACATTTTAAAATTTATTTTAAATGACTTTACCATCACCAATAAATACCTGTGTATCCAATCAAACATTTAGAAGCAAAGCTCATTTTGGGCAATGTGAACCATCAAAAGTAAAGGTGGAGTAGGGACAGCGGGATAGGGCTGAATCAAAATAGAGTCAGAATGGAAAATAAAACTTTCCCCTGCAGTGTCCTCCTCTCTCTAAAGGCATTGAGAGCATTGATGGACAGTGTGTACTCCCTCCCCAAGGACACACAGGCTCAAACATAAATGCGGAAGAGGGACGGACAGTTGGCAGATAACTTCCTCCACAGCCCACTGCCTGGACCTGTTTATAGCCAGCCTGGTCAGTCCCAGGAGCAGACTCATGAGGAGGTCCTCCAATCTGCCCATATCCCTCCATACTGGATGCCAAAGATCAGGAACGTAGGACTGAAGTACAATCAAAAACACAAAAAAATTTTTAGTAACTAAAAAAGGGCATAATTGCCCACAGTTATACATACATGGTCCATGGACTCCATAGTGCAGCAAAATTTTGGCGTCACATTCAGTACAACATCATGGGCTGAAGGGCTGGTTCCTGTGCTGTACAGTTCTATGTTCTTTGTTCTAAAATAAACTGATAGTCTAGGAATCTGTAAACTGCTGCAAACTATGGTTAGGGGCCTGCTTTACTTTTCTATATATACCCAAAAGTCCTATCACACAACTGAGTGACATTCCCACTACTGAATCACTGTGACTTTAAAAAAAATATATTTTTAAAACTGCTAACCACCACCAGTAAATACATGTGTAGCCAATTAAGTAGTTACGAGCAAAGCCCATTATGGGCAATGCAAAGATTTAGAAGTGAGTGGTGCTGTTAGAGAGGGAAGGGACTAAATCAAAATGGAGTTGGACTGGGAGATAAAGCACTGTATTTTCTGTGGTGCCTCTGTCTAAAAGCATCGAGTGCACTGCATGCTCCCTCTACAAGGACACCAAGGCACCAACACAACTGTGGAAGAGGGGCAGACAGTTGGCAGAGATGACCCTCTCCACCGCCCGTTGCTTGGATCTGTTTATAACTAGCCTGGCCAGGCCCAGTGCAGACCTACGAGGAGGTCCTCCCATCTGCCCACTCCCCTCCGCTCCGGATGCCCAAAGACCAGGAACATAGGGTTTTCCAAATACAGGTATTTCTCCCAAAACACGTTAGTTGCATTCTTGTGTGACCTTGTGCAATAGAAAATCGCATTATAGGGAATTCGCTATATCTGTACAGCAGAAAGTTTGTGTTATCCAAACAGCATCCACTATTCATCAATTGCGTTATGAAATACACGTTATAGCAGAAATACTTGTAACTAAAAAGGGGGTGAAAATGCCCACAACTAGCGTAAACATGTTCCACAGACATCACAGCATTGCAAAATAATAGTTGAACTAGGAGGTCGTGAACTGCTGCAATCTGTGCTTATACTGGACTATTGTGTGCAACACCCATCTATCCCAGGACCCAATAGAAAATAGGACTCCATGAGGGATCTGCTTTATGTTTATTTAACCTAATTTACGGGTCTGCTTCATAAATGGCTCAGTTGTTGAGTCCATCTGAGCAAGCCATTGCCGGGAACTCATACACAACAAGCTCCACGAGGAGATTAATTAGTGATTTCCTGTGGGCTTTGTCGGGTTATTACAAATATGTATTAGAACTAATAGAAATCATGCATAAATTAGCAGACAAATAATAATTTAAATAAAAATGTAAATTTGCATTTAAAAGTCTCTTCAATGAATGCATGTCTTGTTTGCCATAAATACCTGGTGTCACTCTCTGCACAAATATGACATTGTGTAGTTGCACAGTTCCACAATATGCTATTCTTTATCAATGCAGATTAGGTCAGAAGTATTGTTGATAACTTTTACCATTGAATTTCACAAGTATAATTATCACCAGGAAGGCACTCTCTGTAAATTCTTGCTCGAATTGTTTGTGTCTATTCAGATGATGTAGCTCTCCAAGTTTCTTTTAAACTGAACAACCAATAAAATTTCAGTTCACTGTTTGACATCTCTAGTAAAACAACCATCTTTTTAACATCTCACATCTCTAATTACTTCTGCAAAACAGAAGTCTTCCGAGGAGAGATTTTTCTTCTTCTGCCTTTGTGTAACTTCTCTTTGTGCTGCAAGTACATGCTGATCACCTTTGTCCTTCAGCTCTCCTGCTTGCAGTTCTTCTTTGTGTTTGCCAGTCATACAGTTTGTGATTTTTACTTCTTCCCTGCTGGTGCTTGTCAATGATTGTCTGGTCAATTGGACAATAATTTCTTATTTTGAGATAAATTTTAATTGATTCAATTATAATTGATACAGATTCTTAAAAGTCCTTTTCAGACATTCTTACAGTTACAGATTGATGAGATACCTTTAAGAAAATACAAATTTTCCTGATGGCATTAGTTCTTGATCAATGATCAAAGGTCATTGCACTCTCAAATTATTCATCACCTTTATAACCTTGACTTAATCAATAACATGGCTGGCACAATGGTTCAGTGGTTAGCACTGCTGCCTCACAGCACCAGGGACCTGGGTTCAATTCCACCCTGAGGTGAATGTCTGTGTGGAGTTTGTGCATTCTCCCTGTGTCTGCGTGGATTTCCTCTGGGTGCTGTGGTTTCTTCCCACAGTCTAAAGATGTGCAGGCTAGGTGGATTGGCCATGCTAAATTGCCTGTAGTGTCCAGGGATGTTTGGGTTAGATATGGGGAAATGCAGGAATAGGGGAATGAGTCAGGGTGGGATGCTCTTTGGAGGGGCAGTGTGGACTAGTTGGGCCAAATGGCCTGTTTCCACACTGTGGGGATTCAATGATGATGAACTTGCAAAATGGTTTTGGCTTGTCCAGTCCTTAGGAGATTTTGCGGCTTGTCCTGTATAATTCTGCTCTTTTTTTGATCACAATGTTATTTCATTGCTCCAATGTTTTTTGAAAGAGACACTGGCAGTTTAATCTAAAGAAAATAATTTTATCCCTCAGTTAAATTAACAGAAATTTGATAAAGTTCATTATATATTGATATAATACAGCAATTCCCACCTGTAATATTCTATCCAATGATAGAGTGAGTTTTACTTTCAGACAAATTGGAAGTGATTCTATTTATACATTGAGACCAGTATTTTTTCAAGATGGATTAACTGTAAACTGAAATTAAAAAAAAAAAATTTTTTATCCTTTACAGTTCCCAAGAGAATGAATGGAGCAGCAGGACAAAGAACTTTGCCAACATGACAAATTTAAAATATGGGGAGGTGAGTGTCAACCTCAAATTTTATTTGTTGAACTGGAACACTTTGTGTTCACCATCTGAGGTACTTAAAATTGGAATTAGGAATATGCCCTTTGGCCTTTCAAGCCCTTTTCATCATTCACTTAGTGTGTGCTGGTCCTGTACTTCACCTCCACCTTCCACACTATCCCCATTTCTCTGCTTTGAACCAAAAGTATGTGATTAGTCATCTCCTTTCCTCTAGGGCAGAGAATTCTGAAAACCTAGAATCCTACGAGTGAAGAAATTCTGCCCTAAACAACTGACACGTTTTAAGAATATGATCCATAATTGTAAATTGCCCAAGCGGAGGAAACATGCTCCCATCAATGACCTTATCATACACCTTAAAAGTATATTTCAGTGACATTACCTCAAATTCTTTTAAATGCAAGGGATTATGGCTTGGTTAACTCAAATTTTGTTACTCAGACAATCTCCTTATCCCAGGTGTCAGTATAGTGAACAATCATTTTAATCCCTTAAAGGCAAGCATATCCTTTCTCAGGTAAAGAGACCAAAATGGTACATGGTATTCCAGGTGTGATCTAACCTGGGTCCTATACAATTATGTAATGACAAGTGTTTGGATGAGGTTCCCCAATTTCTTAAGGTTCTGAAGTGTGACCTCAAATTGTCAAGCTTCTGGGTGAGAAGGGAGGAACTGGCTCCCCTCTTCATTCACCTGCCCTCTTAGTTGAACACAGCAAGGTTAATTTAAAAAATGATCCTCTCCCACCTAAGACCAAAATAAGGAGCTAATTATCCAGGCTTTCTTGAGTAAATGAAATAGTGAGTTTGTTCATTACTAAACGCAACAAGAAATAACAACACAACTCATATATGCATAGGTTAGAAATGAGACAAAAGTGCAAAGAGGATAAACGTTTAAAAAAAATGAGTCAGTTCTCCAAGTTCCATGAAGACTAGACCATGAGAAGTTGTGTCCGTTACATTTCGATGTTGCTGGTAGCAATGATGTTGGTAGGCAAATGGTTGATTTTGAGATTTTGCAGCACAGCGAAAGGCCTTCTTCTTGTTTGTGTTTAACTGCAGCTTCATTTGCTTCCATTAAAGAGAGATAGACTTTTTTTTAACTTGCAGCACAGGGATGATTATGAATTTTCTCAGCTGTGACCCTTGCAACACACACCTTTGCCCACTAGCATGCACCAACCAGAGTTGAACATGGCTTTTAACCTTGTTCTTGTGCATTTTGAAAGTGGAAAACACAAACGTGTCTCTTGTCAGATTGTCCTCTTTCTTCCTATCATGTTCCCAATCTGAGATAACTGACAGGACAGTACAGTTTACTTTGCAGTGCAATTATCCCTTTTGAAGACCACTTCCTTGAACCTTCCATGATACTCCTCAATTGTGAAATTCTTGGCTATTTCCAGACAGTCTTGAATTACATTGCTCAGAATTTGCAATCTCAGTCTTTGTTTGGCTGTATATGTTCTCTTTAAAAAAAAAACGACACATCTTACGATTAATCTATTGTTGTTATAATTGAATTAGCTTTATTTTAAATTGAATTAGCTTTATTGTCACATGTGCTCACCCAGTACAACATTACAGCGCTATCTTAGGTACAAATGTACCTTCATCCATCTGGTTCAGTAATGTCCTTTAGGGAAGGAAACTGCTATCCTTACGTGGTCTGGCCTATATGTGACTCCAGACCCACAGCAATGTGGTTGACTGTTAACTGCCCTCTGGGCAATTAGGGATGGGCAATAAATGCTGCCTAGCCAACGGCGTTCTCATCCCGTGAATGAATAAAGAAAAAAAATAAAGAAAAGTAAGGAAATAAGTAGTCCAGCATTATAGGTCATAGCAATAAATTAGAAAAAATAAAGAAGTAAAAAAATTCAGAATATCAGTGTTTCTGATCCAGTCCATGCCAGCACCTAGTCTTAAGGGAGACCTCCGCCGCCTCGCTGCCGCCTGCGTCAGATCCACTAACACAGGAATCATCCCACTTTAGGTGCCATCTCTTTGCTGTTGGGCCCTCTCCACTGATGCTACTGAATCCGCACTTGCCCTGGAACCAAGAGTCCCTGGCTTCACTGTCATGCCAGGCCAGACCAGGCCACTGCTGGGCCACGAGTCCTGCTTCGGCTGCAGATGTCTCCTTGCCAGCACTGCCATCTTGAAGAGTCTGCTGCTGCCGACACTGCCTTCCCCGATTGCTGAAGGAGCTTTGCTGCCACTGCCGCCAGTCCTAAACACTGGAGAAAACCTTGTTGCTGCTGCGACAGGCCCCGAATGGCAGGGTACTGCATTCATCTGCTTCTGGCCTCCTATCGCCAGAAGAACGTCCTCAGTATCTCTGCCTCCTGTCACCAGGAGAAATCATGCCAGACTCTGCATGTGGCCTGCTCCTGCTGCTGTGCTGATGCTGCTGATCAACTGCCACAGAAAAAAAGAAAGAAACAGCTAAAAGAAAATGAAAATAAAGCAAAACTAAAGAGCAGAAGCAAAAGTGAAACAAAAGAAGGAAAGTAGATGGGAGAAGATGGGCCCACATGCAGCCCTGTTACTCTGCTGCCATCATAATCCCTCATTGTGGCAATTGTAATAATAATTATTTACTCTTATATTGCAAATCGCTTTTGTGATTTGTAAACAAGGAGAGCCTTATCTTTTAATGGCAACATTTCCCATTTTCACCATCTTATAAACATTGCTTTTTGTTTCCTTTGCTCCCAAAATAGATAAATTTACCCTTACTTCTAGATGTTTATATTCTAAATTCAGCCCCTTATGCCAGAAATAGCTAAATCAGATTTTCTGTCCTTTCCTAAACCCTTTCTCTGCTAGGAACTTGCTGTCCCAGTAACTACACACAGCACAAAGTGACTATGTGCTGAGCAGTTGCGTGACGAGTAGGTTTGGTTATGCCATGATAGTTAGTAAATTTCATTCTGCATTAATGGCAGGGTTCTCTTCTTACACCACTGATCTGGGCAAATGATAAGGATTGGTGTGATAGGCTAGCATTTGCTCAAGAAGATCTTATTTACCGGTACCTTCCAAGGGATCCAGGCACTGTGGCAGACCACCCACGTTGGGGTCCAAGTAAGTAGGGGTTTGAAGGGTCAATGGTGCTGTTGCTTCAGTTTCTGCCACCCAGCTGAAAATCCCTGTGTCATGTTCAAGAGTGAGAGAAGGCCTCCTTCCACTGGTTGCATTCCCTGGACTTGCAACACAGAGTTCACTCCAAGATTCTGCATCACCGTCTCACTGCACTTTACTTAAGCCATAACGCGCTGACACTTCAGGTTCTGCAACATCCTTGAGTGAGCTGCTTACCACCACATCATCCACCTGAACTCGAGCAACTCGCCTCTGTGAACCATTTTCTGAAGCTGCTTTTCAGCTATTAGTTCAAAAACAGGAGGAGGTTACCATTTGGATACAGACTGGCTTGAAGGTAGAAGACAGAGGGTGGTGGTGGAGGGTTGCTTTTTAGACTGGAGGCCTGTGACCAGTGGTGTGCCACAAGGATCAGTGCTGGCTCCACTGCTTTTTGTCACTTATATAAATGATTTGGATGTGAACATAGGAGGTATGGTTAGTAAGTTTGCAGATGACACCAAAATTGGAAGTGTAGTGGACAATGAAGAACCTCAGAGCACAAAGGGATCTGGATCAGATGGGCCAATGGGACAAGGAGTTGCAGATGGAGTTTAACTTAGATAAATGTGAGGTGCTGGCTGCTTTTGGAAAGGCAAATCAGGGCAGGACTTATACACTAAATGGTAAGATCCTGGGGACAGTTCTTGTAAAAGAGACCTTGGTGTGCAGGTTGATAGTTCCTTGAAAGTGGAGTCTCAGTTAAATAGGGCAGTGAAGAAGGTGTTTGGAATGCTAGCCTTTATTAGACAATACATTGAGTATAGGAGTTGGGAGGTCATGTTGTGGCCGTACAGGACATTAGTTCGGCCACTTCTGGAATATTGCATGAAATTCTGGTCTGCTTGCTATTGGAAGGATATTGTGAAACTTGAAAGTGTTCAGAAAAGTTTACAAGGATGTTGCCAGGGTTGGAGGGTTTGCATATTGGGAGAGGCTGAATAGGCTGGGTCTATTTTCCCTGGAGTAATGGAGGCTGAAGGGTGACCTTTTACAGGTTTATAAAATTATAATGGGCATGGATAGGGTGCTTTCTATGTACTTGGGAAACTTTCAAGCTGCTGCTTACAGACATCCATTTTAAATCTCTAAGCATGGAAAAAGCACATCATCTTTTAAAGGGACCACACAATGTTCCCCCCACCCCTCCGGTATTTCACACACACCAAATTCTAACTTCTTGCCTCCCAATCTGAGTACTCAATCCAACTTCGCAACACCTCCCCCCTTAAGAAAAAAAATCATTATGAAAAGATGTCTTCACTTTTTTTCTTTTAAAATCTTAACTCCATTATATTTCTAGATCCATAGCTCATTAATCTGGAGTTACACATTTTATACTAATTCTGTTTATATACAACATTGAACATTACTGTTTCTATCTTGTATAAACATTTTTCTTTTAAACTCGAGTTACAGCATCTGTGACGATATTTTCGTGATCCGCAACATGTACCATCTGTAAGTTAAATGCTTGTAATATGAGACTCCAATGAAATAATCTAGCATTCTTGTCCTTAAATCTTTCCAGAAATGTCAAAGGATTGTGATCAGTGTAAATAATCGTTTCTGATGCATTGTTTGCAATGTCACATTAAAATGCTGTAAGGCCATTACCAAACTCAATAGAGATAGTAGGAACTGCTGATGCTGGAGTCTGAGATAACAAGGTGTGGAGCTGGATGAACACAGCAGGCCAGGCAACAACAGAGGAGCAGGAAAGCTGA